ATTATTAAAATTTACCTCATTCTTATCAGGATCGAGAACTGAATGAAATAAATGTATAATTGAGGCGTTTGCATCGCTTACCACATCAGCTGCAGATGCGAGATTAGCTAGGGCGTCCGCTTCAACATTTTCATCCCTTGGTATTTGTATAACTTTTCAAGTTTGAAATTGGTTTATCAATTCTCGTACCTTTTCTAAGTATTGTTGCATCCTTGCTTCCCTAGCTGTATAAGTCCCCATCATTTGATTAACCACGAGTTGCGAATCACTCTTGATTATAATCTGATTTATGCCAAGCTCTCGTATCAATTCTAGACCTGCAATCACAGCCTCATACTTCGCTTCATTGTTAGTTATGGATTGACATTTAATAGCTTGTCGAATGGTTTCACCCATAGGTGGTACCAAGACAATCCCTAAACCTGCACCTTTTACATTAGATGAGCCATCAGTGAATAAAGTCCAAGTTCCGGGGTTAGCTTCATTGAATACCTGTAATTCTTTTTCTGCTTCTAATTGCATCCCCTAGCTAAAATCAGCCACGAAATCAGCTAACACTTGTGATTTTATAGCAGTTCTAGGTTGGTATGTGATTTCGTATTCACTTAACTCTATTTCCCACTTAGCTAACCTAACTGATAACTCATGCTTATGTAATATATTACGTAAAGCGTAGGCAGTTACTACAGCGATAGGATGACACTGAAAGTAAGGTCTTAACTTTCTAGATGTCATGATTAATGAAAGTGCAAGTTTTTATAACTGAGGATACCGCGTCTCCGCATCTAACAAAGATTTACTAACATAATAGATAGGGGATTGTTTACCTTGTTCTTCTCGGACCAAAACAGCGCTTACCGCAACTTCCGAAACAGCAAGGTAAATGAGTAGTCTTTCCCCAGCCTTTGGTTTTGCCAGCAAAGGTGGATTTGATCAGTACGTTTCAAATTCCTGAGTGCCTGTTGACATTCCTCATTCCATTCAAAATGATCCTGCTTCTTAAGGGCTGAGAAGAATTTAAAACACTTCTCTGATAATTTAGAAATGAATCTTCCTAAGGCTGCAATTCTCCCTGTTAATCTTTGAACTTCTTTCTTATTTGAAAGTATATCAGGGATTTCTTCAATGGCCTTAATCTGTGCAGGATTCACTTCAATACCACGGTTAGAAACAAGAAAACCCAAAAACTTACCTGATGCAACGCCAAATGCACATTTTTCGGGATTTAACTTCATATTAAATTTGCACAAAATTGAAAATGTGTTAGATAAGTATGATATGTGATCTTTTGAATACTGAGTTTTAACAAGTATATCATCTATATATACCTCCATAGTCTTTCCTAAATGCTCTTGAAACATTTTGGTAACTAACCTCTGATACGTTGCACCAACATTCTTTAGACCAAAGGGCATTACTTTATAACAGTAAGTTCCCCTGTCTATTATGAATAAAGTTTTTTCTTCATCTCCCGGATCCATTTTAATCTAATTATAACCTAAATATGCATCTAAAAAACTTAATAGCTCGGGACCTGCAGTTGCATCAATCAATTGATCTATGTGTGGTAGTGGAAAAGAATCTTTAGGGCGGGCTTTATTAAGATCTGTGTAATCTACACAAACCCGCCACTTACCATTCTTCTTTGGAACTACAATAGTGTTAGCTAACTAGTTAGGATACTTTACCTAATGAATGGAACCAATTTTTAGCAATTTTTGGACTTCTTCTTGAATCACCTGATTCTTGAAAGTTCCTTGCTTTCTTTATTTTGCTTGACAGGAGGGTATGATGGATCTTCATTTAGTTTATGAGTCATCACCTCCGGTGGTATTCCTGTCATGTCAGAGTGGGACCAAGCAAAGCAGTCCACGTTAGTTTTCAAAAATCCAATTAACTCACCTCTCATACCTTGGCTAAGATTGGCTCTAACATAGACTTTTTTATTAGGCCATTGAGTAAATAGCACGATAGGCTCTAATTCCTCTATTGTTGTTTTGACATTCATTCTCTTCTGGTTTTTGAATGGTATTAGGCCTTGAGTCTACATCTGTTTGCCCTTGTTCAATTGAGGTTCGTGCTGTGGTGTCCTCAACTGCCTTCTGTGATTGCTATTTACCTTCATTTCTCGTGATTATATCTGCAACAGAGTTGATAGCCCTGGCTGTATGTTGATCTCCACGAATTTGACAGATTCCCAATGGCGATGGAAATTTAATAACTTGATGTAAGGTGAAGGAACAACATCCGTATCGTGGATCCATGGTCTCCCAAGAATCATGTTGTAAGCTATCTCCATATCTACTACCTGGAACTTTGTATCTTTGACGACTCCTTCAGCGAATGTGGTGAGTGTTACCTCTCCTTTCGTGAGGACACTAGAATTATCAAATCCAGATAGAGTATGCGCCTTTGGTATCACTTTATCTTCAGCTTGTATCTCATGTAATACTCTTAGCAAAATAATGTTCACGGAACTACCTGGATCAATCAAAACTCATTTCACATTAGTATCATGTACAATTAAAGATATTACCAATGCATCGTTATGAGGGGTTAATACGCCATCTGCATCTGTGTCATTGAATGTAATGTTGTCTTCCTCTAAAACATGCCACACTCGTTTCCCTTGGGTAATTGTTACTTTGGAAATTTTGTTAGCTGTAGTATATGATATACCATTGACATCTTCACCCCCACTTATAATGTTGACAGTTCTTTTGGGAGAAGGTGGTTTTGGAGGCTCCTGCCTGTTCTTCATGTAAGCTTGCTTTCCTTTCTCACTGAACAACACAGTAAGATATCCTTATTTTAATAAATGATCAACTTCACTTTGTAAAAATCTGTAATCTGTTGTTTTATATTCGTGGTCATTATGAAACTCGCACCAATGGCCATGGTAGCGCCTGTTTGGATTCGATCTCCTTTCCTTTGGCCATCGAACCTTATCTCTCATGTTTCTCAAAATAGCTACGAGCTCGGAGGTGCTGACGTTGAAGTTGTAACTACAGAATCTCGCTTTTAAATTTCTATTATCATCTCGTGACTCATAGTTGTTTCGCTCGTTCCTGAATCTTGACGAAGAACCTGATTCTCTGTTTCTTGATCTGTGATCGTACCTTTGATTATCCTGCTTTGACCGTGAGTCCTTTCCCGCAGGTCCCATGTAAGGCTCGTACCTATTTTTACCGGATCTTTTTTTGGTCTCCGCATATCTCGAACTTACCTTTTCTTCTTTTTGAAATCGTGGAACAGTATCTTCCTCAATCCTCAGCTTCGTGCTATACCTATTATAAACATCATTCCACGTTGTAGATGGGAATTCTCGAAGGCTTTCCTTGAGTCTCCTCGTAGCTTCCGAGCTTTTTTCATTCAAATTACTTGTGAAAGCTATAGCTGCCCAGTTGTCAGGTACACGTGGCAATGTCATTCTTTCACGTTGAAATCTGTCCACGAATTCTCTAAGCAGTTCTGAGTCCCCTTGCTTGATTTTGAAAATATCCTCCACTCTTTTCTCTACTTTTTGAGCTCCCGAGTGTGCTTTGATGAAAGAATCTACAAGCTCAGCAAAAGAATTTATAGAATTTTCGGGTAAAAGAGAATACCATGTTAGCGTTCCTTTGTTGAGCGTTTCACCAAATTTTTTGACTAATACTGATTCAATCTCCTGCTTAGTCAAATCGTTGCCTTTTACGCCCGTTGTGAATGCAGTCACGTGATCTCGTGGGTCTGTTGTTCCATCATATTTCGGAATATCAGGCATTTTGAACTTTTTTGGAATTGGGAGTGGAGCAGCACTTGGCTTCCAGGGTTGTTGCGAATATCTATCCATATCTACCCCTTTGATTATGGGTGGCACCCCGGGTATCTGCTCTATGCGCTCACTTTGCTCCTTGAGCTGTTTCTGCAAGGTTAGTACTAAATTTTGTCAATCAGAATTAATTACATTACCTAGTTCTCTCTACTGTGATTCACTGGGAGTTCCACCGCTGCCTGAGTTAACTAGCCCGGAATGAGGGTTTTCCAAAGTGTTATTATTTGGAGTAGGTGTGGGTGTTGCAACAGGTAACTGGTTAACAAGTGCCTCAACAGCTTTGTTGACCTGAGCAACAATTAATTTCTGCAAAGCTTCATCAATAACTTCAACATTTTCATATTGAGCATGCTTGTTTATTTGAGACCCATCAGGAGTACCCTCACGAGATTGCCGTGGAGAGTCTCGTGGAGTAGGAACTTGAGTGTTAATATTCTGTGGATCTCCCTGATTTTGTTGGTTCTCTTGGTTTCCTTGAGTGTTGTCATTGTTGTTCGACATAATTGATGCAACAAGGAAAGTTAAGTGAAAAGAAAATAGACTATCAGTTTCCCGGTAACGGAACCAATTTGTTTAACCAAAAAATAAAATTTTAGTCAAAGCTAGAATTTAGAAGAACACGGGTTACTGATAATCAAAAGAATGTATAAAAAGAAGTAATTTAGGTAGCAAGAGAGTAATCAAGAGAAAAACAAGTAAACCAAAGTTTATTCCAATAGTCTTTTTTTCACAATTGATCAGATATCTCTCTTTTATAGATATCTTGGAGATATACGTTTTAACAAATCATAATGAGGCTATTATGAGTAATTAAAGACATTGAATGCTACGTTACATAATCATTACATTCAATACAAATTCTCTAACGTATTCCACATTTAATGCCTATTAAATGCCGTATCTGCACTTTTTTCTATTGTAAGATTCATTCCTTTTGATTCTCGGACATAAATAACTTAGATAGGTACGGGCGCTGAGTTATTTGAATAACTGTCCGTGCCTCTTCCTCTGTCATTTGCTCGTATCTGTTGCAACTCGTGCCTCTTGGCTAGTTGTAATTCTTTGACCATTTGACCAGTCTACGTGCCTCGACACGTCACCTTTATATTTAAATAAAAAATTTCCCTAATACACCCAAAAAGTCAAAACTTTGTTTTGATCTTCTTGGTGGCGAACACCTACTATATAAGTTATAAGTAAGTGTTTTTGCCAAAATTGTGGAGTATTAGCTTTTGATCAACAGAGTATTACCTCGCATCTGCTTGTTTTAGTAAACTGCAATATTATGTCGGGTCCGGAGTGTTGTGAAAATCCACCAAAGTTGAGCTCAGGCAGCAGTGGAGGAGAAGCAGGTCATGTCCAACAACTTGGAGGCTTCAGCTGTTATATTTCTGGCCCTCCTCATTCCACTCTTGCTCTCCTCCTTGTTTCTGATGTTTTTGGTATATTCTTTTTATTTAGCTTTCAAGATTCTTTTTTTTTTTGGTTGCTAATTTCAATTTATATATTGTTAATACCACTAATTGGTTAAATACCTGTGATTAATCACCATGAGAGAATTGCATGAGGCTATTAGAAAAGTAGAGAGTTCAAAAGTAGAAGCATGGAATCTCTGGGAAGCAGACCATTGAAAGCTTAAAAAAGAATCTTTTTTGGTGTTCTTGTTAATGCCCTGTCATATTTTCCTCTTATATATTTTGGTTGAAATCCACATAGACGAAAAGAATTTTGGGTTCATCTCACATATGGTCACTGACCTTTACCCACTATAACAATAGTAACGTCATAAAACTATTTTTTTTTTTTTTGGTCATTTTAATGATTGATGGATTGAGAGATGGAGCCGGTTACTTTTTTGACAAATTAAATTAATTGTTTATGATGCTCTAAGTCAAGTTAAAGGAAAACCAAAGACTATCTCACCTTGATTTGTCAAGCTCGGACTCATATGGTCCATTTCCTATCACCAAATAATATTGTGAATATTCTAATTATCGTCTTTTTATTAATATGCAGGATATGAAGCTCCAAAGTTAAGGTGAGGAGTTGCAGGAATTGATATGCATGCAGTCCAGTTCTGAATTCTGTGAATAAGAATCTCTTTTATATGTGATTTAATCCTGGTTTAAGCAAAGTTGTCCTTTCACCCTATCAAATTAGCTTCTCAATTCCTAAAGAAACTTTTAAAAGTCAACGTTAACAATGATGATAAGATATTGAAGTCTTGCTTGACTTAATATTGGAAGTAAATAAATATTTACTTCAAACTGATATGCTTGCTTTCAAAATTTTAGGAAGCTTGCTGACAAAGTTGCAGCAGCTGGCTTCTACGTAGTAGTCCCTGATTTCCTCCGTGGCGATCCACATGTAGCTAATGATGTGAGGCCTTTAGAATTATGGATAAAAGATCATGGACCGGTGAGTTTGTATTTCTAATACTTTTCTATGCAATTTCTAATTCAATGTGTCTGGATATTAGCTGAGGTTTTGAGGCTTGAACTTCATTTTTCAATCCCTTATGTGATTTTCAATAATCCTCTGTCTCTTTATTTTAAATGCATCCTGGAAAAACAGGATATCTTGGTTTTTTGTGCACAGTGCAGTAGCAAAATGGGGCTAGCATTTTGTTTCTGCTGAGTTTTGTATATTTGGCTTGTTCACTTCTGGAGTCAGGTGACCTTTCAAGTTTGCACTTTTATTTAATGTATTCTTGTTACTTTAGGATCAAGGTTTCGAAGATGCAAAACCAGTTATTGAAGCTTTAAAGAGCAAAGGTGTTACTAAAATTGGAGCAGTAGGCTTCTGTTGGGGAGGCAATCTTCTTGATATGGCTACAAGTTTATTTTATCTTCCTTTGGCATGAAATTATCCACATTATCGTTCTAATTTGCTGAATAACTGTATATTAAATTCTTTTCAGCTAAGGTGGTTGTGGAACTAGCAAAATATGCTTATATCCAAGCTGCAGTGCTATTGCATCCTTCATTTGTCGCCGTAGATGATATGCACGGTATGACTTTGTTATTACATCTTCTATACTATTTTCTTCTCATCTTCCTCTTGCTTGTGGATATAGAATTCAGCATACCAATACAATGAGCTCATAACACTGGGAATGTTCAGGCATAATTTTCATATAGGCCTTGATCACCTCTTCAGACATTCGTTTTTTAAGTACAAAATCTTTATCGAGCATCTCTCATTTTTGAGCTGGTTAGTGGGTGGAAACGGATTGGTTTTAAAAAAAATCTGGTTCAATGTCAATATTGTGTTTGTCATAGTAGCTCTTTTACAGTTTACTTGTTAATTCAAAGCAGGATTCATAAATTAACGCAGTATCTGGGGTGAGTTATTAGGTTGTTTCCATTTCAGAAGTCATAAGTTCCTAATTTGTTGTGATGTTCAGCTGTTAAGGTTCCAATCTCAATATTGGGGGCAGAGATTGACAAAAGATCTCCGCCAGAGCTTGTCATGCAATTCGAGATGGCCTTAAATGCTAAGCCCGAGGTAGGAAATTTTAGATGCTAAAGCTTTTCACGAATTGCACTCGTATACATTACTTTAAAGCCTCTCGATTGGTGATCGTAACCTTCTTATGTTGTTTTACGAAAGAACTCATAAGACCTCACCGCTTTATGATCTCTCAGTTGCACTCACATGCTTACTTTGGCTAAAGTTGCCTCTTGTAGTTCTAATTACGTTTGATTTGAAGCACTTTCATTGACTATTCACTTTATTATACTACTATATATAAATATATGACTTGCTTTAACTTAAAACTCAATTCTGCTTCAGTAAGGGGAAAAATAAAAAGACGAAAGAAAAATGGAAAACAGATGCTGATGGACAATTAGGAATCCTTTAATATCCATATAAGAAAGTGAAAATTGACATCCCCATGTTGCAGAATGATAGCTAGACTGCCAACTTGTGAACAAGCTTATGTCGATGCGTCCAAATTTCTGACATTTTGCTATTGAGTGATATGCTTCCTAATTTTATAAGGATATGTTGTCCGTACATGAACCATAGAGGTCCATCCGAAACACAAAGTTTTTTCCTCAGTTTATAGGTGCACATTTTAGAGTGCTACTTTCAACTATCTTGAGAAGTGCTTTGAACCAATGTATGCATTGAAGTAACTTCTTTTAGCTTTGTCATAATACTTGACTAAGCGGTGTATTTAAGCTGTATGACTACATGGTTTATTTACCAACGGTTACTGGTTCCACAGAGGCTTAAAAGATTTAAATTACACTGCTACAGTGTATTATTGCTAAATAGAATGAATGGGACGGTTATGGTGTTTTCATGCAGGTTGATGCATTTGTGAAGATCTTTCCGGGGGTTGCACATGGCTGGTCTGTGAGGTACAAAGACGAAGATGAAGTGGCTGTAAAATCTGCTGAAGAGGCTCACCAAGACATGTTGGGATGGTTTGAAAAGCATCTCAAGTAATACTTGCTTTCACTGTGTATAATGCATGTATTCCTTGTATAATAATAATAATTTGCCAGCCCATGTACAAAGCATCTCGTATTCCTTGTATGAGTTTGGTTAATACGCTTAGAAGGGTTTTCGCACCAGCAAATTAGTTAAATGATTTCATCAGCATCTTGTCAGGAATGTGGATTCCTTGTATGGATTTCTCAGAAGCACTGATCAATAAACTGATGTATTAAACTCTAATTAGCTCAGTTTTAGAATAATTACTCTAAGTTGGTGGTGGTAGTATTGGGCTAAACATGACTTCAGGTTCCTAAGACAGATCAATACAGTGACCTTTACATTACCAATTACCTTGCTAGGAGGGAATTGTGGTCCTCCAGACATAGCTAGTCCTTTCAGGCAGTGACAAAGGGTAGAGCTGCCAATATGTGCCGACCCAGCCTAACCAGCCCATGTGGGCTTTGGCACTTGATGGACCGGACCAGTCCACCCTCTCAATGGGCCTTAAAATAGTTAGCTCAACCCCGCTTTACATGGCCATGGCCCACCTTTTTCTATACAAGTATTTTTTTCTCAAGTTCCAAAAAATTTAATGAATGACTTTTTCTTTTGCGCATTTCTCGTGAAAAGACATACTGACTACCTCAAAAATGAAAGCACATGAAAGTAAAATTAAATAATCTAACGGGGACATGACAGTTGTAGTAGGCTAGTAGCTATCAAAAATCAATCCAACGAGCAAAAAAACAATTTGGTGAAAGGATCACCACGAAAAGAGAACTATTTTTCTTGACCGCAGCAGAAATAGAAATTTTTTTGAAAATTATAAAATATCCTTGTATCTACAACAAGGGGCAGGCCAATAATATTGTGAAAGAATTCAATTACATATATGTTTGTGTGTGTTAACTTATATTTTTATAGAAAAGCAATATACAATAATACCCATTAAATTGATATTCTGAATTAGCCTTTAACTAGAACACAAATTGTAGCCAATAGAGAGAAAGTTCAAATCTTGTAACTCGTTGCAGTCATTTTCTTTTAAATTTTTCTCCATGCGAATCAAATACCGATATAAAGAATTACATGAAAATGAAATATCAAAGTAGTACTTATCACGACTAAAAAGATTTCGTGGTGGCTGTTGAGTGGATTTTCTTCACCACTTAATATGCGTAAAGGTTCCCAAAAAAACAAAAAAATCTCTTCAAGTAAAGAAAAGTTTAATTAAGTAGACAGTCAGATAAAGTTTTAGGAACTAGTCATTAGATAAACATGAGACCAATTACTTTTAGGAACTAATCATTAGATTAACGTGAGAACAAGTAAAGATTTCAAATTAATTATCCTTTACATATAATGAAAGAGCACGCAGCTCAAAAGTGAGTATCCTTTTTTATTTCTAAAAAGAAAACAAAAAGTAAGTGTATCATAATGTTTAAAGACGTGGGGTATAATTAATAATTTATTTTCTTCCTCTTCCAAAAGAAATTCGATTAGGAAAAGAAATAATGTATATAATCCAGCATCTCTGGCAGTACGTGCTGGTGCCATATGAAGATAAAGAATTCCTTTACCAAATAAAATATTAAAGAGAATAATTTCTCTTTTAATACAGCAACTTGTTTTTCTAATTATATCATCTAATGAAACTCTAATTTTCGAAATATTCCCCCATCGATGTAAAATTTCTCGAGCCTTCTTTTAAACTAATTAAATATTACCACTCGGTTCCAAATAACCCTCTAGAATGTTCAATTTATTTTCTAGATGTAATAAGCACTGGGGTTTAATTCCTAAATGATAAAAGGGTTGCAGAGATTGAGCCTTCAAAAGAAGCTGTAAAATGCCTCTTAAGAACCAAAGTTATAATTGAAAATTAATTTTAGTTTCGTTTCAAATCAATAAACACTTGTTTTAAATTATACATCGTAGTATATTTTATTTTTAATATGATAAATCAAACATCTAAAAGTTAAAAAATATTAAATGACATATATCAATCAATTATACTTTATATTTGCAACATAAAGCAGGAGCATTATAACCTATTTGGAAACCCTTATACATCCGTGCAAGACAAATATACTCAATACACTTTTGAACGTGCAACCCCATTTTTGGTGCTGTGAATTTTGACTTGATCTAACGGCCAACAGAGTCTATAGTTAGGTTTTATCTGCTCCCTTTAACTATATAGTATAACATTTTTTTTTCTTTATTAAAGACACATTTTTATATTTGTTTTTTTGTTAGGGCTTTTATCGTGTTTTTCTTTTATGGGATTTTTACTTTCCTATACTACATATGAAACTTAATTTATTATCCTTCCTAATTAAATTTTAACTTAATTACATGGGCATATATAATTTATCAATTATATACAATTAGTATTAATGAGTATCCTTTTATATTAGGAATTGAATAGTGAAATATTTATTTCTCATCCCTGCTCTCTCCCTCTCTCCCTCTCTCCCTCTCTCTTTCCTTCTCGGTTCTTTCCCCAATTTTCTTCTTTTTATCCTCTCTTTTTTTCCAGGGAATTCATCAATGAATTCCAATTGTTTCAATATAGAGTTTTAACTTAACAATTTCCTTTCATATTGCACAATTGGTGTTCGAATTGAAATTGTCAATTAATAAATTTTGAAGGTGCTTGATTCTCCATCATTGACAGCCATTAAAAAGCTTCAAAGCTTTGAATTCGAATTGGATTTTCAAAAACTATTATTTGTTTGGATTGGGTGTTGTTGCAAGCAAGTGAGAATATTCTTTGGAGTTTATAACTCAATTTTGAGGATGCTCGGTGAAGATTAGATTTGATTTTGGCTGAATTTCAGACTGAAACTCGAAATAGCGGAAGAAGAATATATGATATAAAATATACTTATGAAACTGTATTAAAGTTGTATATAAATTGTATTTAAGTTGTATTATGTTGTAACTATATTTTTTTATTTGAATGTTGTATGAAAATTTTAAAAAAAAATAGTTGTATAATGTATGAATCAGTATGAAATATGTATTTAAGTTAAAAATACTATCTTTTTACATAAAGTTGTTGATATGTATCAAAATTATTTTAAGAGATGAAGTTTTGATTGGAATTTGAGAGAGGAAGAAGAACACACCACTTACAAAGTATATACAAATCATATATAAAAGACATATTGTATAAAATTTATATGAAAATTATATTTAAGTTGTATGATGTTGTAGATATATTTAACTGGGTAAAAATAATTTATAAAAGTTATTGATAAGTTATAAATAAGTTATATATTACATAATTAGTTGTATGAAATTTATTTTTATTATGTATATTGTTGTAAACATATTAAATTTATACGACATTTATTTTTAAAAAAGAGAAGAAACAGGAAATTATCCCATTTATTGCTTAAATTTAGTTTTAAGTATTATAGTAGACAAATTTTCAGGCATGGGAGAGCGAATCCGAGTGCGGAACCAAAATATTGTTAATTTTTACTAAAAATACTCAAATAAGTGTAAAAAAAAAAAAGTTACCAAAGTATATATAACGCCACTAATAGTGGCGCTATACAGTAACGTTAACTGTACTCTGTATAGCGCCACTATTAGTGGCGTTATACTGACAAACTTACATAGCGCCATTAATAGTGGCGCTATATGTCTTATACCTGAAGACATAGCGCCATTAATAGTGGCGCTATACCCCTTA